CACCAGGGGCGTGGCAGCTGCTGTGTTCTGATAGGAGGAGCATCAGGGGCATGGTCTCTGCTGTGTTCTGACAGGAGGAGCACCAGGGGCGTGGCTGCTGCTGTGTTCTGATAGGAGGAGCACCAGGGGCGTGGCTGCTGCTGTGTTCTGATAGGAGGAGCACCAGGGCCTGGCCTCTGCTGTGTTCTGATAGGAGGAGCACTAGGGGCGTGGCCTCTGCTGTGTTCTGACAGGAGGAGCACCAGGGGCGTGGCCTCTGCTCTGTTCTGATAGGAGGAGCACCAGGGGCGTGGCCTCTGCTGTTTTCTGATAGGAGGAGCATCAGGGGCGTGGCCTCCCTGACATAGGGCTCTGTTCATTCATTCATTCCTTGAGCAAACCTGTCCCAGGCCCCCCTTTTATGGAGCCAGTGCTTGGTTCTGGGGTGCCCTTTCAGCTCAGCCAGCCAATGGTAAAGAGGTCTATGATCTCCTTTGCCACCTCATGTGTTGCATGAGCACTGAAGGGCGTCTGGTTTGCTCTCTGATTGCAAGGGGCCTCTGCTTCTCGTGAACTGGGCACCTGGCTCAGGTGACACCTAGTAGCACTTCAGAGTGCTTGACATTTAGAAAATGCACGTGCTCCCATCTGCACGAATGTGGCTGCCCAGCAGAGGCACTGGCCAGCAGTCACAGTGAACTGTGGCAGTAGGGGCACCGCCCTCTGCTCCCTGTTGTGCTGGAAGGAGGCAGGAATGGCCTCCCCTGCCCTTGGAGACTTACCAGGAGCTGTCAGAGAGCAAGCAGTCCCCGCGCCCCTCACAGGGCTTCAGGCCCACAGAAGGGCTGTCCTTGAGACTCAGGGACCCACATAACAAAGGGTGGTGTGGATCTGAGAGCCTGCCCAGAGTTCTAGAGGCATTGAGAGCTTTTCCTCTGCCAGTACTGGGTGGAAACCTCACAGATACTGCCCATTTGGTCCTCCCAGCAAGCCAGGAAACCACCCCCTGACTGTCCCCTCTCACAACCAATCAGAGCACAAGGAGAATTGCCTGGGCCACTGAGGGCCAAACCAGCAGGGTCCCCCTGGGGAGCAGTGTCGTCTCACACCCCAACGCAGCCTGGGGTGCTGATCACTCCATGTGGGGACAGCCAGGCGGCCACTCCTGGAAGCAAGGAGTCAGGAGAGAGCTCACCCCACACACTTAATGAGTCTTACACACTCGTGTGCTCACTCCTGTACATGGGGCAACTGTTAAGCCACTGGAAGGAAGGGGTGAGGTCCCTGAGTGGGCTCCTCCCGGTTCTGCACCCCCCACCCGGGCTGATGCCAACTGTCAAGTTTCTTCCCCAGGCCAGGAGTACCACCTTCTGTCCCCCAAGACTGCCCCAAGAAGCAGTGACTCAGCCTCCTGTCCCCACAGTCAGCCCATCAGATCCCAGGACACAGGTAAGGGATGGGACCTGGGGTGGCCACCCTGCAGCCTCTTGCTGTTGGGGGCCATTGTGGCTGGCCCTGTGGGCCTGCCCTGAGCCCAGCAGATGAAGGGTGGTGGGCACAGGCAAGGATGGGACTTTCCTGGGCTTCTCAGCCTTGCCAGGTACCTGCCACCACCCTGTTGCTCCTGGAGCCACTGTCTGAAGCCACCTTCTGGGACTTTAAAAGTCCCTGAAAAGTCCTGAGGGACAGGCATGGATGCCGACCGGCTGGCAGCAGTAGTTCCCCCTCCTGTCTCCACCCCTCCCCCTTCCCCAACACAGCAGCTACAGGGGATGGGGAAGGTGGCGGCCTGAGAATCCAAGCGTCAGGTTCTGGTCCCAGTTCTGCCACTAGCTTGCTGTGGGGCCTTAGGCCAGGTCCTTGACTTTCCTGATCCTCAGGTTCCATGTCCTAAAGGAGAGGGTAAAGAGACGGTCTCTGAGGCTTTTTAAGCAGGGACACTGGTGGCGATGGAGTTGCCATCTGCACAGCCCTCTGTGCTCTTCTCGTGCACAGTGTGCATCCACCCTCACAGTTCAGTGAAGTGTTACATTATGTCCATTTTGAACCTCCTGAAATAGGCTCAAAGAGATGGTGCAACTTGCCCAGTGGCACACAGCTTACAAGTAGCAAAGACTTCATTGCAGGACTTTATGACTTGAGGGCCCCGACCTGCCCTCCATTCCTTCCTTCATTTACTTGGCAGCTACTCCTGCCAGGCCTTGGGCCCTGTCCACAAGCAGCCAGTGGCAGAGCTGGGATGGGGCTGGGGCAGCACTCTCTGGGCACAGGGGTTCCCCAGAGGGCGTATGGGCCAGGCTGAGCCTGGGGAGAGGCAGGCGGCCCTGGAACCCACTAGATGCCGAGTTGGGGATTTGCAAGGGAGGCAGCGCCAATGCCCTTGCCTCCTGCTCCACGGGTCTCTGCTGACCCTGTCCCTGGAGGTCCAGACTGGCCACTCCCATGCAGGGGACAGGCGGTAGGAGAGCCCAGGCCGGGGGTCAGATGAGTGTTGGTTCCCAGCTCTGAGATCTGGGGAGTGAACAGGAAGAGCCGGAGCCTGTGGGTGGGGCTGGGGCTGCAGGACGGCCCCCGCCAGCGCCTGGCCCATGCAGGGTGCACTGCTACCATCCTGCCGGGTCTCTCTGTGGTGGCTCCTGACAGCAGCTTGGTGCTTTGGGGGCCTGTGGGGGGGGCTCTGGGTCTGATGATCTAGACAGGATCCTTTCCTGTCCTTTTCCAGACACCACTGCCACCAGGGAGCTGCAGGGACTGTCTGCCACTGAGGCCCTCCGATGTCCGTTGTGTGGCCACGTCGAGTCCCTCCCAGAGGGAGATGGCCCTGGCTCTGGTAGGGACAAGTGCTCAGAACCTGCTCGTGGCCAGACCCCAGCTCTGCCTACCCTGGGGGCCAGGGGTGAGTTTAGGGGGTGGCGTGAATGGGACCCCATGAGCTGTTCCCAGGGGAGGCCCTGCCTGGGGTCAGGGAGGGCCGTGCAGACCGCCATCCTCAGCTGAGGACGCCGGGTGGCCAGCTGTGTCCTGGTGTTTTCCCACAGGGGCAGAAAAGGCCACCGCAAGGAAAAATGTACCTGTGGCTTCCAGCCCCAAGCAGAGGAGCCAGCGGGTCCCCTCGCCCGCACGGCTGCCCCCTGGACTGTGGTACCTGGCAGCTGCGCCCTCAGCACCGGGACCCCCGGCCTTCACCTACGTCCCCTCGGTTCCCATCATGCCTTATCCGCCAGCCACTGTGTAAGAACCCCCAACTTCGCCACCCCAACTTTTCCAGCCTCGGTCTCAGTCACTGAAGAAGCCCCCAATATGGGGCTGAGCAGCAGGCTCGGCTCTCCTGGGGACCGTCCCAGGTGGCCACCTGCTGCCACACCTGGCACTCCTATAGTCACTCAGCAAACCCCAAGAGCTTGCTGGGTAGGAGAGTGCTCGGCCCTGGGGACCCAGCAAGGAAGGAGGCTGCCCCCCGGAGCCTCCTAATGTCCCCTGATTATACTCCAGGACTTGGCCATTTCCTTGAGGCCAAGCAAGGCATGAGGACGCCCTTGTTTTTTCAATTGACTCCTGTTTTAGAGCAGTTTGGATTTAGGGGAGTTGAGTAGATAGAACAGAGAGGTCCCACAACCCCTGTTCTGACATCTTAAGTGACTATGGCACATTTGTCACCAGCCAACGTTAGCATTGACAGCTGACCAAAGTCCACGATGTCTTCAGTGCCGCTGGCTTGTCTTCTGGGTGACCTCCAGGAGGTCCCTGCCTCTCCCTGTCATCCCCTCAGCTCTGTAGCTCTGGCAGCTTCCCAGACCCACCTTGTTTCTGGGTGACCGGGAGGTGCTCCTGCCAGGTGCTGGAGGACAGGCCACCGAGATGGCAGAGCAGCTGTGCAGCAGGGCGGGCTTCGGAGCCAGGCAGAGCTGCTCTGGAGTCCCCTCTCCCACATTCGTCCTGTAGCCAGGGCAAAGCTGTCTCCTCTGAGCCTCGGTTTTGCCATCTGTCCGTGGGGAGTGGTCTCTGCCATGTGCACTGTGTGGGGACAAGTGGGGTGTCAGTGGAGTCACCCCAGGTGCTGGCACAAGCTCATCACTGAGTAAACAGGAGCTTTGTCCTTCCAGACGACATTGCTGTTGCTCGATATTGTCATTAGTCAGAAGGAAAATGAGCTCAGCAGCTTTCCTGCAGGATTGTGGAGGGAAGGAAGCCTGGGCCCTGGAATTAGGAGACCTGTCTTCTCGTCCCAACCGTCACCAGCTAGTCTTCTCGTCGTCGTCGTCAACCTAGGCAGAGGCCTCAGGTTCCCCCATAGTGAAACAAGCCAGCCAGCGTTCTGTGGCCATGCTCTGGGCAGCGAGGGCAGAGTCACGCTGTGGGCTGACGCTTGGCGGGAGCAGACACCCAGGTGCCGTCCACCATGGGCCTCCCCAAGGAGGACGTCCTGTGCTGGGGCGTCTTGCCGAGCCTGGGCAGGCCCATAGGAGCCTCGCCTGGCCGCATCCTTCTGCCTGCCCGGGGCCTGGCACAGGGCTGCAAACCCCTGCTGGGTTCCTGCCTGATGGCAGTAAAGGCTCTGCCTGGAACTGTGGCCCCCCGGGCAGCCCTGGGTCTCCTTACTGCTCCTGAGGCCACCACCTTCCAGCTCAGGCCTTTGGGGAAAACTAGCCAGACAGGCAGCGTCTCCAGCCTGGGTGGGCCATGGGGGAGAGGAGAGCAGCTGGGGGGCAGTGATAGCCAAGGAACTTGGTAGGCCCCCGTGCCTCCGTTTCTTCCTGTGTGAGATGGCTTGTGGCAAGGATCAGCTGAAGGAATGCCCAGAAAGCCCGTGGTAGCCGAGGTGGCCAGCAACACAGTGCTCTTGATGCGCGGGGAGCAGGGCAGCAGGACTGGGCGTGCTCAGTGGTGCCTGGTGCAATTTAGAACGTTCTTGGCCTGTGCTGCCACCTGCTGGCCACTGCCCCCACATCCCACTGCAGAGCTTTGCACCCAGAGGATTTTCAGGGGCTTCTGCCTAGAGGGTCTTGGGGGAATTCTCTGGCAACCTGGCCATCCAGTAAGCAGAAGGTGGGGTGCAGGGAGCTCCCCAGAGGCAGGAGTGCGGGCTGCCATCCATGCTTAGGCCAGAGCCGCTCGTCAGCAGGGGCTGCTCCCTAACTAGCTCAAGCTCCAGATGCTCGGCATCAGGTCTGGGGCGACTCCAGCCTGCCCTTTCCAGCCTGCCCCTGGGCCTCGGGAGCTGACCGTGACAGAGCGCTTCCCTGGCCTGGCACTTCGAGCTCCTTACTTGACTTCTCCCGTCAGCTCACTCTGGCCATTTGAGGGGGAAATCAGAGGCTTTGAGTGGGGAGGTTCCTGGGCCCTGCAGCCGGCCGAGCAGAAGGAACAGGGTTTGGGGCAGGCCGTTTCCGCTGGCCTCTGCTGAGGTGTGTGACACTGTCCCCTCATTCACTAACTCCCGAGCTTCACTGCTCCTGAGGTGACGGTGCCGACTGGTGCCAAGGAGGCCAGCCCGGCTCTGCAGGTTGTTGAATTGTGGGAGGAGAGGACCAAGGCATGCTCCCCTTCCCCCAGCAGCGCGGTAGGGTCCCTGGCCGCAGTTCCTGCCAGCACTGGGCTGTGCGTCTTTCCTGCCTCGGCCCTCCTCGTGGGTGTGCCGAGCACGGAGGGGTGTGGAAGGGGTCGGTGCCCAGCTGCCTGTGCTAATGAGCGCCCCCTCCCTCCCCAGGTACTTCGCACCCACAGCGCCTACCTCAGTCCCCACGGCCTCCTTGCGGGCACACCGGGGACACCGGCACTCCATCCAGCTGGACCCCGATGACCTGGAGGAGCTGCACTCGGCCCTGAACCAGGCGGTGCAGGCCGCGGAGGACGTGCGCTCCACCACCCGGAGGATGACCCGCTCGCTGTCGGCCGACCTGCGCCAGGCCCACGGCCTGCGGGACTCCTGCCTCTTCTGATTCCCTAGAGTCTCTGAGATGGGGAGGAGCCGGGGCAAAGGGCAGGCAGGAGCCACTGATGCCCAGGAAGCCCTGCGGCCCCTCCTCAGGGGTCCAGGACCTGCCCTGCCCAGTACCTTCAGATGGAGCAGCGTCAGCCTGGGAGGCGGAGTAGCTTCCCGGGGGACCAGCCCCGTCCACAGGTGCTGCAAGCAAGGCCACAGAGCCTCTGGGACTCTCCTCTCCTGCTCTGTCCACCTCCAGCTAATAACATGTGTCTTATGTCCAGATGGCCAGGCGCTCTTCATCCTGGGAGTCACCCTGGTCTTGGCCTCCTTACAAGGCCAGATACGTTGGGAAAGGCCAGGCTGTCTGGAGCAGAGCTGTCCCCTGCCTGTGACCAGCCACCTCTGGGAAGGGCCTTGTCCGAGGCCTTGCTCCTGGCGACTGGGCAGTGGGACATTTGTGGACTCTGAGGCGTCTGAGCTCCTCGCTGGGTTGCAGAGGCCTCCCCCCAGGCCTGCTGGGCTGAGGACACCTCCCAGAGCCCTGGGAAGCCACCCGCCAGTGGCTCGCTGCACCTCGCCCCAGGCCTGGGCCCTTCCTAGGATCTCAGTGGCATTGGACTGGTGACCAGCTCCCTGCCAGGCCCCAGCCGGGGCCCTGCAGCCGGGCTGTGGGCTCCCGCCCTGCAGCAGTGCCCTCGGGTTCTGGAATGTGTGTGCATGGCAGATGTTTGTATATTTGAGGCATTTAAAAGTCTATTTTCGTTATAAGAGTAAATGAAGAGGAATGAATAATGATCTAAAAAATAGAAAGGACAACCAAAAAAGAACCGCCCACATTCCCAAATGGCCTGCGTCTGTGGTGTGTGTCACGGATCCGTGATTTCTAAAGTCAAGCGTGTGGCTGAGGGAAGACTTGACACCCAGCCAGTCCCTCCCCCAGGGGACCTGTTGAGTGAGAGTTTTCTGACTCTGCCTCCTCCTGCGGGCTTCTGTTCCTGCAGCTTGTCCCCACTTGTCTTGGAACCATAAGCCATAAACCTTGGCTGTGAAGCCAAGCCTCTTTACACTAAGCCCAGAGAGGTTATGAGATACACACAGCAAAAGCCTGAGTCTGGACTCTCCTTCCAGTGCTCTTTTTAGTAGTGAAACAACTGCTGTCTCCTGAGCCCCTGCTAGACCGGGACCTGAACTCCACACAGGCGTCCTAATGGGCAGTGACATTCCTTCGGCCTGCCCCACCTCTTAGTCTCCCCTCCCTGCCCGCCAGCACCAAGGTCTCATTCAGGTTTGAGCCGATCCTTGGCAGTGTTGGAAAAGGCCTGTCCCTGAGAGTGACCCTTTCCTGTTGGTTCTGCGCCTCCAGATCTCGCGTGCCAGAGGCCATTTCTTCTGCCATGTTCTGGGGGCATCAGGATGGGGAGGGCCTAAGCTGGGGACCCAGGGCAGCGTCCCCAGTCTCAGTGCCATGGGCCAGCCGTGTCCAGCTGTTGACGAGGGATGCTGTTGCCATGGCTTCTGGGAAGAGGGACAGCAAGGTTGTTGTCTTAGGAGGCTGGGGGCAGCCCTGGGCCTGGGCATCCCGAGCTGCCCCTCGGGAAGGCGTGGGCAGCTGTGTGCATAGGTCGTTTAACAATCCAGCCCCGACCTTCGGCCAACCGAGAGGTCTGCCACCCTCACATCCAAGAGGCCACCCATCGTGACTTCCTGGTGGCTTCTTGCAGGACTCCTGACCCCAGGTGCTCGCTCTGTCTGTACCTGGGCACGGCCCTGACCTAAGGCTCCAGAGAGATGTGAGCTGGCTTCTGGGGAGTACCTTCATCTCCAGGTGTCATTGTCTTCTTTGGGGCCCTCCGAGGACACTTCCAAGGAGACACCCGCCCCTTTGGCTGAGGCCCGAGTCCTCCCGTCACCCACCCTGCCCGGCCCAGGTGCTGCCTCTTGCCAGGATGCCCTCTGTGGCCTCTGCTCGGGCCTTCCTGCCTCCAGCCTGGCCCCGCCCAGCCCACCTCCCTGGATGGCCAGGGTCCTTCCACCCCTTGTCCACCTCCTGTCGTCCTCATCCTCTGTCTCTGGTTCCTGAAATGTGTCCCTTTGGGCTTGCAGCTTCCCATCCTCCTAGATGGGCGCAGATACCCCTCCTAGGAAGCCTGTCCCCCTGCAGAGGAGCCCTCCTTGAGCAGGGCTCCTAGAGCACCGGGCCCAGTGACGTCCACCGGCTCCTCCCGCCAGGCTGGGGCTCAGCCAGGCCCCACTCGGGGCAGACTTTCCCACCAAGAAATGAGTGGGCATGAAAGAACGCGCAGGTGACCAGCAAACTGTCCCAAGCAGAAACTTTACTGAGGCAGAGGACTGTGACCGAGGAGGCCGGTATGGGGTGGTCACGGTGCCGGGGGCTCTGAGCTGTGACCCCCAGCAGGTGGCCTGGGGCTGCTCTCTGGCTCCTTCTTCCTCTCCAGCTCGTGCTGCCTCCGCAGTGGCTCACACTGGTCCTGGGAGAGGGCAGGGAGGGCCGCGAGTGACGGGGTGCAAGGGTCTCCTGGGGCCACGGCACCAGCCCCGCTCTATGGCTCCCCAGCAGAGGCCCTGGGGCTGGCCCTGCCCCTGCGCCCCCGCTTGCTGGCCCGAGAACGGGGCCCAGGCTGCGGCAGCTGGTCTGCTCAGGACTGTGGGCACCGCTGTTTTGCCCATGCAGCTGCTGAGGCTGGGGTGGCCAGATGCCCAGTGGAGTCCCCTGGCCAGGGAGGGGAGGGGCAGGCAGTGGGGCAGGAGGGGCAGCTCATGTGGTGGGTCTATGAAACCCCGGGACCCACTACTGGCGGTCAGGGGAGGAAGGGTCTCAGGTGGAGGATGGACAGCGAGGTTCTATTGTCCTGGTCATGGAAATCTCCGGGTCTGTCAGGTCCCATGTCACCGGCTCAGGGCTTGGTGATTTTGTGGATGGTAAGTGACGCCTTTCAATGAACGCAGGTTGGAGGCAGAGCTGCGGCGCCGTCGGGCAGCCCACCCTCACGTACAGCAAAACTCGGGACCGCAGCCCGGGGCTGCGTGCCATCGGGGCCTCACTGAAGACCATGACCCCAGTTCCCCATGGGCTGGGTGGTAGAAACGGGGGGCAGGCCAAGCCTGGGGTGTGGGAGGTGCTCCTCGTCTCCTCCTCTCCGCTGTGTCTCCTTCCTGGACCTACCACCCCAGGGTGCGGCCATCCTCTCCCGCTAGCCTTTCAAGTCCTCCTCTCGGCTCCAGTGTCCAGCTGGCTCGCAGGGTTGGTGACCCCCGGGCTCTCATCTCACACCCACTAGTCTCTGAATCTCAGCTGCCTCAGCTTGAGGGCAGGTTCTTAAAAGCAGGGGATCTGCTTGGCTGTGCAACCTTGGTGGGCAGCTTTCCCTCTCTGGACCTCTGGGGTTGCCCGAGGTCCCCCATATTCACCTTCTTCCAGTCGGTGTACATGATCTCCGCCTTGTCCATGCCCTTGCACTCCAGCGCCTCACGGAACCCTTCTAGCTGCTCAGGGGTGGCCTCGGGCTTGTCGGCTGCGAGGAGCAACAGGCAGGCTGGTGAGGGCCTGGGTGAGGAGCTCGGGGCGGCGGGAGGCCAGGCGGGAGGCCAGGAGGGAGGCCAGGAGGGAGGCCAGGCGGGAGGCCAGGCGGGAGGCCAGGCGGGGCTGGGGTTCTGGGATGGGCACCGAGGGAGAGGCTGAGGCGGGGGGCTCTGGGGCTGCGGGGGCCCACCGTAGAAGGACAGGCCCCTCTTGGTCTCGTCGTCCATCGAGAAGGCCAGTAAGTAGGTGCTGTTGAAGTCCTGGAGGAGAAGCTGGGCATCGATCTTTTTGCCCCCATCTGCGGGACAAAGGGCCCAGGTGAGACGGGAGGGGGTCCCACTGCCCATCTCTTAGACGCAGCCAGATGGGAGCCCCACATAGGCCAGGGCTTCCGGAGTCTGTCCCTTTGTCACCGATGAGGGACACGAGGCCAGAGAGGGGCTTGGGGCTGCTAAGTGGTGCCAGCTGTGTCCCCACAGCACTCCGTGCCCTTCCTCTGTGGCATCTCTGGTGGTAGTGGGGACGTGCAGGCTTCCACCTGAGCTTCCAGAGACTTTCAGAAGGGGCTTAAGAGAGAGGAGGTCTGGGGCCAGACTGGGATTCCAGTTCTAATTACAAGCTGTGTGATCTCAGGAAAAGTCCTTGATGTTTCTGTTCCCCTGTTTCTTCGTCTGATCCCTTCGAATGCCCTCCTGGGGTTACTCGTGGGCAGGAAACTGGCTCACTTCATAACGCATTTAAACAGTGCCTGTGTTCACTGCAGCGCCCAGGCACCAGACCTGGGGGACATGGCGGGTAGAGCCGCCTTCTGTTTTCTGTGCCCAAGGTCTCCGGGGCCTCAGTCCCACCCTCGTCGGTAGGCTGACCACCCCCTTCCACACCCTCCCACCTGAGGACAGGCCCTCACCGAATCTGGAGAGGGTGGCGTTCTCCCGATGGACCCACAGGACACTGGAGTTGTATTCGCAGTGGTCCTCGCTAAAGCCAGGTGGAAGGCGGAAGAGAAACAAGATGGCCCTCAAGAAGGGACAGTCCCCACCCCAGGGCCATGGCAAGGGGCTGCTGGAGAGGAGAGCCGGAGACCCCGTTCCCCGTGGGGAGGCGAGGCCCAGAGGGGAGGGGCGGGCTTGAGGGCTCGGCCTCTGGAGTGGGGGGGGCGGGCGGGGCTCACAGGCTCAGGTACTGCTGGAACAGAATCGTGTCCTGGGTCAGGTTAGGGGTGAAGGAGAAGTCGGAGGCCTGGACCTTCTGAACCATCTGCTTGAACGCGGGGTCCACAAAAACTGAGCCGATGTAAAACCACCTGCCAGAGAGCTGGGGAGGGGGCAGGCGCAGGGGTTGAGCCGAATCTCTGGAGGTTGGCAGCAACCAGCCTCGGGGAGAGGTGACCCTCCATTCTGCAAGTAGGGGACTGAAGCCCTGGGGGTTGGGGACTGCTGGGCTCACCAAGTCCTCCCCCTGGTGGGCCTCGCCATGCTCAGCACAGAGCTCTCCCCTGCCGAGGGACTTCGCCTTGGAGCTCCTGAATTTGGAGGCAAGGGGAGGCGACCAGTGTCCCCCAGGCTGGTCAGAATCTCATCCCAGATCCAGGAAAGAAAAGGGCAGCACCAGAGGTAAGGGGCTGACCCCAGCCAGTAGAGAAAGAAGGGCCCAGAGAGGGGAGGCAGCTGCCTCTGGCCCCGGAGCGAGGCAGGCCCCAGGCACTCACCCAGTCCAGGGTGGCGTTGGTGATGGGCTTGGCCGTGAGGTTGGCACAGGCCGGGCTCTGAGCCTCTAGCAGTGGCAGGAGGCTCAAGACTGCGAGGGCCCAGGGCAGCGCCATGCTGAGAGCAGGAGGCACCTGGCAGAGCTCAGGGCAGGAGGGCGCAGCGACCTTTTTAACAAATGTGGGAGGGGCTCTTGGAGCCACAAAGGTCGGCTCATGGCTGTGACCCAATCCTGCCAGGGCTTGGGAAATCCCCAAAGCTGTTGAGTCCCACCTCCAAGGCCAGGACAGCGACCGCCTCACCTGCCCAGCTCACCCTAGCCTGGCTCAGTCGAGGGCCAGGTGCGCGTGGGGCTGGAGTGACATCCAACAAAGTTTGAGCACATGTCAACAGAGGGACCCGCTCAGCAGTTGCTCCTGTTGTAGGGACAGAGGAGGCAAGGCGCCCAAGACAGCAGGAATCAGTTTTATTTGGCTGCAGCCAGGTTCAGAGGGCACAGCTTTGGCTGTAATCAATCAATCCCCTGAACCCCGAGTTCAGGGAGTTTCAGAACTTTATACCCAGCATGTAGGGGGAGGGGCTCAGAAGTTCACAGTC